CCCCCAACTATTTTCATAAGAGAGATAGGCCTGTTATTTTCCTTTCTTGTAATGTTGTCAGGTTTTAGTTATCAAGTGTACGCTGGCCTCATAAAATAAATTGAGGAGGATTCCCTCTTTATCTGTTTTCTGGAAGAGTTTGTGTAAGGTTGGTGTTATTTTTTCCTCAGTGTGTGGAAGAATTCACTGATAAAGCCATCTGGTCCTAGGGATCTCGTTGTGGGGGAGTTCCTTACTTTCAGATTCAATGTCTTTATTAGATAAAGGACTATTAAGATGTTCTAGTTTTTGTTTCAGTTTTGGTAATTGTGCTTTTCCAGGAAATGCCTATTCCATCTAAAATTTTTAAAAAGATTTATTTATCTATTTTAGAGAGAGAGAGGGAGCAGGGGGAGGGGCAGAGGGAGAGGGAGAGAGAGCCCTAAGTAGACTCCATGCCAAGTGCAGAGCTGACGCTGGGCTTGATCTCACAACCCAAGCCGAAACCAAGAGTCGGACGCTTAACCAGTGTGCCCCTCCCTCTAAATTTTTAAATTTATTCATATAACGTTGGGTATCTTTTTAATATCTCTAAGAACTATAGCAATGTTTTCTTTTGTGTTCCTGATATTGGTAAGCTGTGCTTCTTTTTTTCTTGAATAATCTTGCTACAGATCTGTTAATTTTATTAATATCTTCAAAGAACCAACTTTTGGGGGTTTTTTTGTTTTCTCATATTATATATATTTTAATTTATGCCAGCTAATATCTTCATTATTTTCTTTCTACTTTTACTGAACTATTGTTTTTCATTTCTTGAAATGGATACCCATTGCTGTTCATTATTTCTTACAACCTAATCTTAGAATTTAAGTGACTTGCCTAAGGTCACATAGCAACAAAACTAGAAGTAGAGTCTACGACTGTTCTCTCAGACCCATGTTTTTTACTGTTCACCATGATGACTTTTTTTTTTCTAGAAGAGGAAGAATAAAAAATATTAATATTCGTTGAGCACTTAGTATGTTCAGGCACTGTTCTAAGTATTTTACGTGTGTGGTACTATCTTTTAAGTCTCTGAATTACAAATAAACTGAATAGGACAATATTTTTTAGTTTTGTTTCCAAATGTCTTCTTTTTCTCTGTGTGCTGTCTTCTCAGTACAAGAATTAGAAACAGGTCTATGGAAACTGTTTTTCCCTCCTTTTCCTAGATCCTTCTCTATTCATCTTAAGAAAGAGACTTTTCCCTGTTAGGCCCTCCTCTTTATATATATATATTTATATAAATATATAAAATATAAGCCTCTAAGCTAGAGATGTATATTAGGAAACTTTTACAAGAATTGTTTTATAAATGCTCTCATTTTAATGATACAAATGAACACTCCCTTTTGTGTTCTATCTGCTGCTCAGAGCATCTGCTTCACCAGCTGAGACGCTAAAACTGGTTCTTCAGATCCCAGTTTATACGTTAGAGTGGTAAGTCACAAGGATAGCTAATAATGATGACAAAGATTTTTCAGCTTATATTTTCGTTGCACTTTTCGCTTTTCAAACCATTTCTGTATATTCCTATTTAGTACCAACAACCTAATGAACAAGAAGCATTTAGGAATTCTTGGTTTAATCATGAGGAAACTGGGGCACAAAAAAATTATATAACTTGTTAGGGTCACACAACTAGACAGTTCATCCGCTTGGTGAATAGTGGTTGTAGTGATTCTTGCCAGGGGAATACACCCATATCATCTTTGGAGCTTTAAAACAAAACAAATACCGGGGCACCTGGGTGGCTCAGTC